GGTTTTTAAAATAAATAAAGAACACTATTCTCTCCAGATTTAAAAATCCATTATTTTCTCAAGCAATCCTCTTGCGTTAGCATAATAATTACTTGGAACGAAATGTACAGCGTGTTTGGAATTTTTATTGTGTTTTTACTTAGCGGTTTTCTTTAGTCAAAATCGGAGCTCGATAGATTAAACTAGGAATGTATGAATAAATCTTCTACAGTGTATGAATAAATCTCGCTGTTAACTTTAATGAGATTTAGACCGTAGCTACTACGTTTGTATAAGCCGGTTGCATCCAAAACTAATCTGTTTCTGGTATCTGCCTTATATCGATGTTAACCCGTCGCAGCTATTTGTACAAGTTCTTTTACGAAGCTCGAGATTTGAAGCGGATTATTATAGAAATAGAAAACACGTACTAGAAAGATAGTACGATACTAAATACCAAAATTATTAGTTAATAATTTTGGTATCTAGTATCTGTTATTGTTTGTTGCCCACAGAATCATAAATTACTGCGAAAACGGGTGGACATAAATGAATTTTCCTAATTCCAACAAAACAAAACAAAAAATCCTTTTAATATATAATAATTGTTCGCCCCGTTTATTATACCTACGACGACTGGTGCTTTTTAAGCCTGTACAATACACTGGCAGGAAACATCATCACATAGTCTGTCATATAGTGGCTCGGCGTTAACCCATAACAATAAGCAATAGTAATAATAATACTCACAGTTATTTCTATGTCTAAATCATTAACGCTATTTGGGTGTGCAGGGGTAGAAAACTCAGGGATCGAGGGGTGTAAAACAGTGGCTTCCGGGCATATCGAGCGTCACGCAAATCGCATAATCGCGACACGCCCGACCGGCGCCTCCACAGCCTTTCAGCTTTATTATGGAAAGTACATTTCGTTCTCAAACCAGCTACACCATCCCCTCCTTCCTTTTGTCGTCATATTTTCGTAGTGCCTCGACACCGCAAAAGGGTGTCTTTATCATAATTCTACGGCTCCGAATCAGCTTTTTATTTCAAGTATATACGCGACAGTACGGCTGCATATATTTATTATTTTTACATAATCATAATAATATTATATTATATGCATAATGTATATATATTCACACCTTTAACACACGACGTAGAGTGAACATTCATTTGCTCGAGTTCTATGTATAATAAGAATATATTATATTATTTTAGTTTCCATCCATTTTCTTATGTTGGAATTTAAAAAATCCAAAATAATCGCAATAAAAAGGATAAAATAATATATACATACACGCATTTGTACATACATATTTCGAAGAAATTGGAATTAGCCATTTGCATTCATATTGCCAAAATATTAGTTAGGACTCCTGGTATTCAGGAATGAAAAATTTCTCAAAAATACCCTATAGTTGAGCAACAGTTGTTCTGCAGGTTACTTAACTAGGCTGATCATTTTCGGATGTATTCATGTTATCATAAGTTAGCTGACGTTCCGAATTCCATTGCAGGATCCGTCCTCAGAGAAATATTAACCGTTCCACTGTCGCGTCTATATAGGCTACTTTTTTTATTTCCCTTTTCCACTACATCTCATGGGAAAATCCAATCCAACTCCTCATATTATTTGGACAAGGATTTTATGAACAGTTCATATATTATAGCAATAAGGCCAAGAGAAGAATCCTAGTTGATTCAATAAGACTTTAAACGGGGATCTCAGTATGAGTTCCTACTGGGAGTTCCCTTTTATGGGGAAATAGTACCACAGGTGATTTTTGAAAATTATAATTTAATTGTATATACTTTTTTTCATTTTTTCTCCTTATCCCATACAAATCTCTATCTATCGATATTTCTTTATTCCCTCAACACACTTCTGTATTATGTTTATTTATATCATCCACCCTTTTATTCTTCTGTCTACCTAAACCTCTAAGGTTTATCCCTTTACGGTGATCTCTATAACTTGTGTTACTTTCTCTTTTTTTAACGTGCCCAAATCATGACAGTATATTTTTTTCTCTTACCTTTTTCTTATTAGTTACAATAGAATTACCCTAAACAATTTAGAATAAACCATTGGCCTTTCTTCTTACAGTAGTTTATCTAAAAATAAGAACAACTTTAATTATGGTAACCGTTAGGACTTATCTCCTAGTTCTTAGCTAAGTTCAAAAGTTTGACAAAGATATTTATTTTATTTATTTATTTTCTCAGTCTGTCGTTAGCGCTGAAGATGACAACATTGTTGCCGAAGTACGTCGTATAAGCGGAGAGTATATAATTTTTATGGTTAAAGGTTTTTATTATTATTTTATTACATATAACCATAAGTTGCTTAAGTTGTTTTATATTTATTTTAGATTAACTTTTCACTAAATATTTTTATTACGTCTTAGAGTCAGCCAGTAAATTAAATTAAAAATATACTATTTTATTACTACAATTTTTTTAACACACCAACGATCAAACGTAGTGATAATACTATAATTTCAGGTTTAATATTATAAAAATACTGTTGTTTTTAATTTAAAAAAATCATGTTCACAAATATAAATAGTAAACTTCTAAAATGTAATTAAAAACTTATAAGAGTATATAAATAAGTACGATTTTTATCCATCAGATTCACTATTGGTTGCAGACTAGATAGACAGATATTGGGGGCCTAAATAATTTATTCAACTCCAGTAAGCCGCTTGTAAAAGTTTTATTTCTGACAACCGATAAATATGATCCTATGCAATGCGAGAAATCGGAATAAGTAGGTCACTAAATAATGAACTTTCAACAGAGATTAACCACTCTTTAGTCAGTCGGATTTTAAATTGTTATCTTGGTCATTCTATCTTCGAAACAAGGAAGAAACAAATCTATTAGCAAGCGCTTACTGCTGTTTAAAAAAATTAATTTTGTGTTTATGTATGAATGTATAATTAAAATGTATGTAATAAATCTAAATACCTTATTTTTTTGATTGATTTTATTACTTTCATATGCATGGCTACCTCCTAAGTCCAAAACAACTGTTGTCGCCCGAATTGATTGTACTAACTCATCAGTCTTTACACGTTGCTGACATTATGTTATTGTTTTGTTTTAATAGCACAACACTAAATATCAGAATTCATTAGATATTTAAATTTAGACCAAAGTAAATTTATTGGTGGTTTAATTCGTCTTTTCAAAATCCGTATGATAAAAATATTTTGTTTAATGGCAGTAGAAAACCAAATAAAAGAACATAATTACCAACTGCTATTGTTTTTATTTTTATATTTTGGCATTCATTTTTAATATTTTAAATGTCAAACTCAGATGCTATACAATGAAATCGTGTGTCAACACATTTAATTAATTAACGAAGGATTTAACGCTATGGGTATTTATAACCATTATTTTTTAATTTAGAAAACATTAAAAAAAATAATGCAATAAGAAAATAATAAGGTTGTAAAAAAAATTAGTTATGATAAACTAGACGTGAAATCTACTTCGAAGACTTGTAGAAATTGTTATATTCTTATTTATTTATCTACTTGACACAAAACCTTTTTCTTGGATGTAGTTTTTGAGTTTACGAAAACATTATTATTCTATCATGCTTGGATGTGGTTATACAACTTTTGTAGAAAACTCTACTCGTATTGTATGACAATGCACAATAAACAAAAAAACCAGCACAAAGAGGCATGGAGTGGACAGACCATATTGGGATGCGGGAGATCTCAGGTTTTAGGTATTATTATAACTGGTTGTAATAAAATTAATTTCAAATAAACGCTTCGATGGTAATCTGCAGATGATGAAAATGCAAATATCGATAAAAGCTATAATGTGCTTAATATAATATTATTTTGAGTTATAGAGTGGATACAGTTTTGTGATTGATCGTCTGTCTATATTAATTTGTTGCCGTTGTTACCCGTAATTAACAATATAGTGAAAATATTTTTTAATTGACTGTTGATTCACACATAACCACCTAGAAATGTCCTACTGTAAAAGTTTTATTTCCCCCCTTTTTGTGGGGTTTCCCTAAGTAAATACTTTTTTAGGGAAAATCATAATTGTACTGAAAGTGAGATAAGGCGGCAGTGTATCAACAATTAACGCATGATCGTCGGTTCGAATCTTAACCACTACCAACTTTCTGGGGGAGAAATAGCCACCTTTTAATTTTAGGCCAATTTAAGTATTTTTAAAGCGATTATTATCTGTAGACTTGCTACATGAAAAAAACAATATAGCAGTTTAGAAAATTCGTTGTTCCAAACACAAAAAAAAAATAAAAAAATAAAAACACATTATTGTAAAAGCAATACCTTCCAGCTTATCGGGGTAGCTAATAAATACAATGCATTTACTTTTTATTTGTTTGAAAAGTAAATTCGTCCATAACAATCATTCAAAATTTAAATGAAATAAGTTTCGCATAAATATAATATTTTAGTAACATGTTAAGGGAAAGCGTAACAGTGTAATTATAATTACTTTATGAGTTATTTATAATTATATTACTTTCTTAAATATATAAATTATCCATGAAAACTTTAACCAGTTAATAATATAATGTTATTACTTAAATACTACTTTATACTATGCATACAAATGTATTTAGTTAAGTTATTATGCGTGCACGGATGGAGGCAAGAGGTTTTGCTTTTCGCTTAATACATTTTGCAATCATTAGCAGCTGATTCGCTTGTACAGTTTAAACATTCATACATTTATACATACATTTTTTATTATAATTAATGTTACTTTTTTTAGATAGACAAAATATTTCCAACAAATTTGTAATTCCAGTTAATAGAACCTGTTACATATCGTGATAGGTATTTTTAGAAATTAAATACTTGGAAATGTAATTAGTGTATCTTTGTCTTTCAAATAGTTATTTAGGCACATAGAACAATGTTCCTGACAGTTATTACAGCAGATTGATAATTTACTCGATGTATGCTGAATTGCAATAATTATACTAATTTTACCGATGCATTGTTTCAGCTGGCTCGAATATCGTTGGCAAGTTTACACAGAGCGTAAGACGAATAGTCCAAGATGTCAAGGACGAAGGCACAGCTAGTAAGTTATAGCCAAAATTACTATTAAAATAACTAACATACAATTATAAAAACATGCAATTTAATAATGCCGTACAATATAATATTGCGAAAGTGCAATTAAACAATAATGTATTTTTAAAGATTGTTAAAAATATTATTGTCATTATTATTACGTCTTGCAACTTTAAAAGTCGCATGGTTATAAAATATGTCAGATATTAAACTGTTTTAAATATTACCATGCTATTGCAGTTGATTTATATTGGAGTGGTCGTTATTTTCGACTTCGTGTATAAGCACTGATAATAATTAATTCCAAATTTATAAAATTAACCATAATTTTAGTTGGTCCAACAATGTATTTTTTCCATGTATCTTTATAGCGACCTATTTGTATAAATAACAACGCCACTGAAACAGTGAGGTACTTAACACTAGGCTCACGAAAGACAGGTCAATTTATTACTAAACACAGGTGCAGGGTATACACAATATTGAGCTTTATATTATATTAAATATTAATACAAACTTTACGCAATGTATATTAAAACTATGGTAAAAGTGCGTAGTTCTAAGATATGTACGACTAACGAGTTTTTTTGAACTAAATGGTTTTAAATTTGGGTATCATAAAATGTAAAAATAATATCATGCAATGTTGGATATACTCATGCAAAAGAGTTTTAAAGCTAGATGCTGAACAAAATATAGTTTATGCAACCTTACACATTTATAATAAGGTTGCGCCTACACAGTTTAAAAGACAAACATGATCGACACTGAATTTTTTAAAGGTGGCATTATATATACAACTTCAGATATTAATCCAATGCAAAAAGATTAAATTATTCATATGATTAAAATTTTTAAAAATTAATATTTTTATACAATTTATGTATTTATTAAAATTATATTTTGGTCTTTATAACTGATAGTGAATATTTGCATGGTGTTAGTGACCATTTCTAGACTTTTTTTGCTGGACTCAACTAAACTACTAAATCATTTGGGACGCGAGTAGTATACAGCTAATTTGAGATATCCTATACCATACTGTACTAGTATTTAACATATACAAATTATTTAATTAAGTTTTACCTTAATATTTTCTAATTAGAAAATCTTAAAATTATTATTCATTTTAGTCAATAAATTGTATCATTTCTTAAAGCACTGGGATATCCTTATACAAACATTAAATAAATGCATGTAAATTGAATTTTTTTCACCATGCCTTATAAAATTAATTTATATTGAACCATATAAAATACAAAAGGCTTATAAATAATTTATTATTTATACATTTTTAATTTTCTTATACTTGAAAAATCACTTTATTTTACCATAATATCAATTTTTAGCTTTTTTATATTCATTTTTATCATCATTCTTCACTTCTAAATTTGTTTGTGTTTTGCATATTATTTTCAGTTGTACCAAATAGCAAAAAATATTTTATAAACATGTTTTACATGTTTGCGTAAACCGATAAACGGAGGTAAATTCACAAAACACATTTTTATACGTTAATGTTAATGTAGATTATACGATTACGTAGATAACATTTTAAGAAAAAAATTATAATCTTAATATTGTTATTTTACACAATCACGTTATTACTAGTTGTTACGTGTTGTAGTCAGTTGAGTAGACAAGCTATAATATAATCTTGTCTCTAAAGCTTACAATAGCTATTTTTATGTAAATATATTTTAATAAAATCAATTAATTAATTAATCATACTCTATAATCATCGTTTCATCATAATTAGGTTTTATTAAAAACCTGTATAATAACTAAAAACCGTATTGCTTTTATTGATTAATATTTGCACTATATATTTTAATCGATACGAAATATTTATATCATAATGAATATAAATTAAAATAATCTGTTATTCGTGATAATATATCATCCTAAGGTAACATTTAATATTTGTATGGTATAGATTATGAAAAAGTAAACCCTGGACCAGTCAAACATTGTTAAACTGAATAAAAATAATTTTAATATTCAATAGTATTTAACCTTATTTTATATCATCGCATTTTTTAACTTAAGATTTTATTTATTTATTTTGTATGTGTACTGGGTAGCAATAAACTCGTATATTATTCTAATTTTATAAGCTGCTATGGACATAATAGAACGTAGATTTGTGTTGCTAGAGAGAGATAAAGGGAAAAAATAATTTTCAATGAAAACTGAACAATGTACAATAAAATCGAATTTTAATCGTGTTCATAGAACGCATACAAAATTAAGAAGTTGGTTGAACGGCCAATTGATAATATGTTAATATTATTATTACTTTTAGTATAGTATTGTCTGACAAGAAAATCGATACCATCTACTTCGCAGTAGCCATTACTTTTGTGTGTATAGCCAGACTGGTACTTTTATAGGTCTCTAAAGTTTGTATTGGAGAACGATATCATCAAAGTGTACGGGGCTCTGAATAGGCAAAATAGATGCGTTTCAGCATGCGAGACGCCGAGAAGTATCACCAATCGCTTCGTATTGAGCGTTATTGTAGTTCTGTGAATCCAGTAAAACATTTTTTGCTTTTAGCGAGAACGACTTGTATAGCTATGTATATTTTTTTACAACCAGTAAATATAACAGTCTACGATATTTTGTATCACTTCAATTTTTTATTCGTGTCATTTTTGTATATTATTAAGTTAAAATATAAATAAACATGAATTTGTTATTCTAGGACTTTTGCAAACAAGTAAAGTTGTTAAATTTTGAAATTTATGTACCACATTAAAATTTTTTGGTTGAGAAATTAGGTTTTTTAGTTATTGTTTCAGATAGTGTTGAGTGTTACTAATAACATAATAATTTATTGAAACAAAGTCATTATGATTTCATAATGACTGTAAGCATTTTATAATTTATCATATAATTTTAAACATGAAAATATGGTTGATATGGTTACCTAAAGATAAAAATGTTTTAATTGCCCTATACTTTTTTAATTAATTCATATAACTTTACTGGGTATCCTACGACGTTTTGACCCATATAATATTTTCTAGGTAAATTTATTTTTGTAAACTCTGTTTTGTATATATAATTTATTACACTATGAACTAAAAACTGTTTATTTATGATAATAGTTATTTTATTATAATATTAGATATTTAAAAAAATAAAATATTTAAATTATGGCTGTAATTCCGTTACATAAAATGAATTAATGTTGTCCGTATTCTTAACGTTTTTAAATCTGTGTACACAAATTATTTTAATGCAAAATAATACACATTTTATTCAATATTCTGTACATAAATAAGATTAACGAGTACCTATTCCTACTGTGTGGTATCATTTTATTTGTTCACTTTTGTTTACGACTTGGCGATGGCTGAAAAAATATAAAATGTATGACTTTTCGTATAATTTATTAGCCCATCAGTCTTGGTATATTACGGCCTATTCTTTACTCATCTCTTTCCTCTTCAAATACCGATCAGAAAATTCACACCTAATCAATTAATATTATAGGTACTATTAGCATTCTACTAATAACAGATAATTATAGTGGCAAAACAAAAAAAATAAAATGTGATTAATTTAATGCCGTAGTAGAATAATATTTCACAATAGCTTACTTATTGTTTCCAATCATAATTTTAACTTATTAAGTGTATTCTCGATACTTATATTATAATAACTAAAATATTTAACGAACCCGTAGTGCACATTAGCACTACACAATTCATTTGAAAAATACCAGAGTATTCCTATAACTCAACTACAATCTAAAAAATGTATCAAGTTATAGATCATTTATATTTTATATACTATTAAAAGCAATTTGCAAATCGCTTTATTACAACGGTGACCTAAATCAAAATTATAAGTTACCAGCACAATTCAAACCTAAACATTCTAATGACCATTCCACTTTAGTTCTATTCCATACAATTAACAATAAGCAAGGTCTTACATCGTTAACTATTATTATTATTGTTTTATACATTTTAGTAAGTGTATATATAAACATAACGAAACGAACGCTTGTTCATGTCGTTGAAAGACTAATTATTAACGAACTAAAAGATTGCGGCGAGATAAGAGCTATTATATATAGTTTTTCAACCAGGGTTACTTGACAATACAATAAAGATGTAATGTATTATTGTTCCGTTTTAGGTGGTCAAACAAAAGAAGAGGTCATAGAAACGAATGAAAGATTGAGAGCCGTGAGAATCCGGTTAGAAGAGTCGTACGACACGGCCAAAAAGTCACTCATTACGCTAATGACTAAGTACACTGAAAGCAAGACAACACGAAATGTCTTCCAAAGGTACAATCTCCTCAAGGCCATGATTAAGGTAAGAATTTAGTGGGTTGATAATATATTTTTTCAGTTGTTTCACACTTGAAAGCAATGTTATAACCGAACAAAAAAAGCTATTCGATCACAGCAACACTAACATAGTAAGAAGAACAGTAAAAGTTTATCATTTTTGAAAATTATTATTATGAAGAGTTAAAACTAGAAAATACTTAATTAACCTTGTAATTTTGAGATAAATTATTCATTTACCGTTTTCTGTAGACTGTCTACAGCCTTACATGTCACTTACAACAACGCACATTATTTTTTTTGTGCCCATCGCTTCACTCTTTGTATTAATCGCACTTTTGTCATTTTCTTTATTTAAATTGTAATATAACGCACATAAATCATTAGATTATCTCTGTGGATAGGGGAGAAAGAATTCTTCCATGGGCCTCACACCTGTCGCAAAAGGCGACTAAAGTGACGTTGAGCTTAACGTAAAGTGGCCTTCCACGGGACCACTTCTCTTGCGACATATGTACCTTCCCCGGCCCGCAATTAGCGCCTAGCGCTACTAGTCGGTCGGTGGTCGTAGGGGACCTCCTTCGATGAGAGCCACAAAAGCCAATGTACGCCCGTATAAATCATTAGTTATTAGTTAACATTAAGTACGTTACACTCATTACCTACGTATTACTGTGTATTATGCAAAGTATTGCATAAGACGTAGGATTACCTACATCTTTACTACTTGTGTTTTATTAATACCCGATTTGCACTCATAATTGTATTATTATTTTATTGACACCACAATACATTGATGTAATAATTATTACATAATTTATATACAGATATAAAATGATAAATATCACCTGTCCACGACACTTGCGATGTTAGCAGTTCAACTATAAAGAATACTTTTCCATAACATTTCACACATTCATTAGTTTCTAATTTAAATATTAGTTTTCTTTATTTTAAAAATGTATAAAATAAGACCCACTAAGATGCATTTTTAAAAATAACCGATTTATGATTAAATTGTTTATCGTTGTTCCATTAACGTACTGCATAGTTTATGCCATGCACCCTCCGGCGACCGAACTGGCATAAAGTTAGCTATAGCCCTCCCGGTCAAATACGCCATTCGAATATTTTTTTTTTTTTATAGTTTATAGTGTCCTAATGTACTTTTTATTTAAAAAGTATTAGAGTATATTAATAATTTTAAAGACTATATTTAAAATATTATGCAGTTTTAATAAAAGCAAGGTCTAAAAGTTAAGTGTTCTATTTTTTAAGTTATGTTTTTTATAACCACGTGCAAATAACATAGGTAATTTTTTGATACAACCGACATGGCACTAGGGGATATAGAAATGTTTGTAATTATATTCAACACTCTTGTTCCTGTGCATCCAACCAAAAAATTAAATTGTCGTTTCGCGAAATATGACAGACTTATTCGTATGTATTCCGAGTAAGATATTTTACTATTATTGTTTTACCACTTCAACAAGTAAACGAGTGTTGCATGAATAATAGGGTACCTGCGGCTGTCGTTCTCAATAATAAAAATATTTTAAATCGACTTCTTCGTTAAACACATAGCTTTGTTTTGGATATTTTTATGACCGCAATTGCTGGAATGTGGTACCTGCGTGATGTCGTAAAAGCGAGTGAAATTGTATTTATTTCGTTGTTATCAACCAGTTTAAGTCATTATATTTATAACACGGCACTTAACTGAATACACGTCGGCTTGCAATATTGTTCAAAACGTTTCCGACAAAAAAATATTAGAAGCAAAAACAAGAAACCTAAAATTATCTCTTTGTCGCTGGGGAACCCTTTGAATATTATGTACTCCAGCGGGATCGGCCTCTCATCCGTACATTTGTATACATTTAACAGCTATAACAACTTACTTACGATAGTTTTTTTCTGCCCGAACAGGAAGTCATCCGGCTGGAGACGCAGTACTGGACATTGGTGGAAATACCCAAACAGGAGAAGCAGGAGACGGTACCATCGTTTGTTTTACGTGCTTGTGGCATCGTGGAGAAGACACAAAAATCCGGCGATGGCGTCAAGTCAGCGACAAAACTAGCCGAGGAGGAAGAGAAAAAGCGGGAACGAATTGACAGATTGGCTGGTGAGTACATTAATTCATGATCTTTGATACCTTATATTCTCCTAATAGGTCCTGTCATGTCGTTATAGTAGGACTTACTTAGTAGGTATAAAACATTCTGCAACCTTTGTTTTAAGTTATTCTGTATACGATTTCCGTTGGACATTAGACAAAATGTATTATGTATTAACTAGAAATTACCTTAAAATCCGAGCATCTATTAAATATTTTTTTTGTATGACGTGTACATTATGTAAAGAGCTAAAATATGTTTTCTATACAACTAACGGTCAAACAAATGTTCAAAATTAAATGCTATTTAAAAAAGTAATATATAAATACTACATCTTTTGTTTGAAAATTATACTACAAACGCGTTCCGTTTTTTACGAGTTAAGTCAGTGTTAGTGTGTTTAAACCGGTTAGCGAATAAGTTTTTATCTGTTTTTTGGACTGACTAAACCGCAAACACTGAAACTTCTTGTACCATTCTACAGTGTTTTCAAATAGTTTCTAAATAAGTATTAAAATGAGATTTGTGATCACCAACGTTTACTGCTTTCGCTGCGCATGCATATAACAATCTTATATAAAGATACATTTTGTACAATGTATATTTTGGATAAAGTTAGTTAAAACAACTATTTTTAAAGGCATACATTCTGTAGGTGCAACTATCCTACTTTTACCGTAGCCTGTAAGTGAACAAAGTAAGACTTTATTTTTAATCTTTAATACCAAGATAAGTCTTTAAAAAAAAACTCAATGTATAAGCATTTGTATTCTAGTCCAGGCACAAGCCATTAGAAAAAAAATATTTAAATGTTAAAACAATTATTTTTAAATAACTTTATTCTATAATATATTTTATTTATGTTTGAAAATTAATATTTTATTTTTAATAAATATTTAAATAAAAATATTTTTATAACAATAGCTTTTAATATTTGGAAACAATAGAAGCAGCCTACGTAGGGCCATCGCTGTCCCCGCTCTTTAGGATGAGGTTGCCTGACGGATTTGCTATCAAGGATGGATGTCAGTCTGTAGTTGGATAGGACACGGCGGCTTCTTTTTATACTAGACGGTTTCCCATCCAGTATAAACGCACTGCCGCCTTATCCCCCAAGCCACACGTCCTTCTGATATTTATTTAAATAATTTAACAATTACTATATTTATAATACTTTCATCCGAACCTTAACATTCTTTAAATAAAATATTAATATTTTTAAATATTGCTGTGTGGAATACCACGTGTGCTGTATGTTTTTATTTTTTATTTTTATTAAGACTCGATAGATTATTATTAACATTGTATGTTGCCATTATTGTCCATTATTTTAAATGGTTTTTTACATCCGCAGATATGACTACTGCCCAAATCGAAGCCGAAAATACTCAACTGACAAACGACCTCTACAGACTGTTAAAGAAGTACACGGGTTTGAGAAATCTGATCAGAGAATTAAAGGTAATAAAAAAAAGGTCCTGTAATCCGATAAAAGATGATGCCCATTTCATTTTAATTTTTATTTCCAGATGGAATATGTCAACTCGAAAGTGTATCCGATATTTCCGCGCTACAACATATTGAAAGACTTAATAAAGGACATCATGCATCATCCGGAGTACATGGAAGTTTGTCACGAAGTCGACCCCGTATAATGGACAATGCCGCAGGATAAGATACGTCTTCTCTTTTTTCTCCTTATACGTATTTTCTCCATATATTAATTTCATCTTGTATACATTTTCCGCGAATCGTGTGTATACAATCTTTTTTCGAATTTATTTCATAAAGGACAAGTAAAAAAACCATCGTTTAAATGTGGTTTCAAAAATGATCGTCAATGATTTAGTGCCAAGACTCCAGACAAAGAACCCTTATTATAATATCGCTCTAAATGGTGTCATAAAAAATAAATATTTACACATAAGTACAAGTAAAGAGAAATCTTAAATTAGCTTAGCAATAATTCAGATATCACTTTTAAAACTAACACATTTCATAAAAATATCATGTTCGTACACGCAATAAAGAAATGACATCATATAATCTATGTGTTCGTTTAAATTATCGCAATATAAAAACGAGACTATGACTAATTCAATATTGATTATGTCTTATAAACGCTTGAAATTACACAATAAAAAGTATTATAATTATGCTAACGGACAAGAAAGTGATTAGTTCGAAGAGGATAAAAAAACTAAACTAGATTTATTTTTATTTTATTTATTCTTTAATTATTCTCCAATAAATTAATGGACACATTATATAACTAACCGACGTATATTATTAGTATTATAATTTTGTATCGACCCAATGAAGTATTTAGTATAATATAATGTATATTATCTCCCTAACTCACCAGATCAGTCTTTACTGATACTGACATAAATACTTAGCTATCATATATTTTGTTAGCGGCCAAAAAACTGAAAATTCGTTCGTGGCTCTTTGTGTTAAATTGTTTTAAGTATAAATGGAAATATTAAAGTCAGCTTTATTTTAGTTAGCCGCATATATTATGTTCATTTGTTCACAAATGCTCTTTCTCACATTTCTTTATTGACGACGAAAAATGATATCAATAATATTGGAAGAATTTATTTGGAAAGAATTTAAATTTTATTTTTTGAATCGTAATACTTATTTTTAACAACTCTAATTGTTATAACACGTTTGAATTGTCCAGCTTGTAAATATTTTTGAGAACATTAATTAATCAGCTTAAAATAAAGTAGTTTAATTCTATATCATAAAATATCTCTTTTAAACTTTCTTTTATGCAAATATCATGATAATAACTATATACTTAAGTTATTATGTTCGGCATTTGAACTGATTATATAACATAATATTTTATTATAACGCTTCAGACTTTTAAAGTAGACTACAAATACAGCATTAAAAGATATTTAAAAATAATAACACACTATATATAAAAAAATACGTCTTAAGTCTTTCTTAAAAGTTCTAAAAACTTTTTAAGTTTTAATTAATAGTATAAATCTATAAGTAAAAATTAAATATAAAACATCTACTGCCATTAAAAACAAATAATATACAATTTTTCATAATTTGCGAAATCAACGTAAACGTGTTGACTTGAAAAACAAAACCAATCACCAAACCTGTTTAATACTGTGTATTATTAAGATAATATTTATTTAAATACATTATTTGAATTATCCAATTTATCATATATTGCATAATTACTAGTACTATGACCTATTACGCAGTCGAGTCACTCGCATTTAAATGCATTTTTCTAAAATGCATGCTAACTTCAATTTTAATTAAATCTTTTGTTATATATAATTATAATAGTTGTATTTAGTTTCAATCTATATGGCATACAGTATTCCATAAAAAAAATACTAGGAGCTAATATTTTTCAAACGTTTAAAATGACTTACCACTTTTACTTAATAAGATATTTGATAGAAAAATGTATTTCAGATTTTCTATCTAGGATATTATGATAATAACAATAAAACTATAAAGTACTATTAAGCTTACCAAAAGCAAAAAATGTGTTTGACAAAAATAAAAATATCCAACTTTGGAATTATTTACTATTGTTAATATTTTGTTTTACTATATTATATTATTACATTAATTATAGTCGAATGATGGCGTGTATCTGTATTAAAAAGGCACACGTTCGTCGATATTGTTCATTAATCATATTGATAGTAAAATACGGCTTGATCGTATTGATGTACTTGGTGTTAACCAGAGCAAATTTAGTGATATAAAACGGCATTTTTTTACGTTTAAGTAAGAAAAAACCCGTTTTTTAGACGACCCTTTCACTCTCATTAGTTTCAAAACTCTTTTTTTTATCAGCCTACTTAGAAGAATTAGAAATAAATCATGCAATTGACTATAAAGCTTACAGATAAGCAGTGTTATACACAAGAACGGCGAACGGTTTCTTTGAGGGATTCGAGCTTTCAATAATGGGTACCTTCGTCATAGTTTATGGACAGGCGGATGGTAAACTATAAAATCGGTCGCGGTGCTTGTGTACAACACCGTTTATCATCTAAGTACACAAAACAATATTATAATGATCTAGTTAGTGATGGTACGAACTTTAGTCGTAAAGATAATAATTACATAAGCGTTTAGCATAATATTATTATTATAATAATTATGATAACATATTTATATTGTTTCTCCTTCGACATTATATTGTTGATAATTATAATAGTATTGTACTGTTACGTTTTTTCTTTTAATATTTATTATATTATACAATTATTAATACTATTATTATTATTATATGATTATAAATTATACAAAAATATATTGACTAAATTAATATTATTAATTATTGTCTTGTATTTTAAGCAAATCTACATTAAACTTCATAATGAATATTCAGACTACGTGTTGTTTATTTTCTTGCAAATGCAAATCGATAACACTCATATCACATTTTTAAATGTATTATTTATTTTAGGAAAAACTTAAGCAAGTTTTTGTGGTTATATATAATAAAGAAATGAAATGTAAATAACTCTAAAGAACTTAATATTAGGGAGGCAATAGAATTGTTAAAAAATATGAACAATTTGTTAAACTGGGACTTGAGTCCATTACAAAACATTTTATTTAAAATTCATAAAAGCATGTGTTCATTTCTGGTAAGATGACGCTATATTTAAGGTATATAATGAGACGTTTGTCCGTAACCAGTCCCGGTCTGTTGTGAGCTCTGATGGTAACATTTTGGCCAAAATGTACGCTAGTGTATTTTTTTTGTGGTTAAGGTATATTTAAATATTTTAATTAAAGGTAATTATAACTAACTTATGTTATCAAGAAATATTGTCAGATTAACATTCAAACCCAAACGACGTTTACATAGATGTTAGTTCAGCGCCGGATAGGGAGGGTACCGGCCCACCAAGTTTTAGTATTTATACCGGCCCTATAAGCATGTATGGAGCCAAACGTTTGGGGGCAAGACAATTTTATTTAATGGTAAGTCTAATTTTTACCGGTATGTAAACATTTTACAAATATTATGGGGGACTATTCAAGGTTTTTTTCGGGGGAGGGGGGAGTAAAAAAAATTAAATAAATAGATAGGTACTAAATATTTTTTTTAGTAAGTTATCTAACTTTATTGGTTTCTCAGAAAATAATTTCTTCAAAGGCCCAAGAATCTCATAAAAAATTCTTCTTAACATTACTGAGTAAAAAAAAAATTCGATTTACACAACTATAATGCAAACATTACTTACTTTATACATTTTAATATTTTTTGACTTTATCGATAATACAGTTATTATCCAAAGACATGAGAATATCTTTCTCTACGGACATTAATAGAAATGTTTCAAGTTTTGACCAAGATAAACAGTTTCTAAGGCGATTTAATATATATTTTAATTTAGAAAAAGTTGTTTCGCGTCTTACTTGTGTACACAACAAAGTTAAAACAAATTTATGCATAAGGTATACTTAACTATAAGCAGAAGAATGTAATTTATACTTATATAATATTTTATAACAACAAGCTATACAATTTTGACAAGCCTTTTTACCAATACATTTTGTTGATGTTGATGTATCTTGTTCTTAATTTTTTTCATCACTTTCATCATCATTATATTCAATGGTGGCATTCATTTGTTTAAGTTTTGGCTATTTGCTGATGAAATCTTATATATGAAGAACTAACTGTTAGTTCTTCTGACCAAAACCGTAGAGTAAAAAACAATTGTCTTTTGCACACTCTCTTTTTCTAGACAGGATTCAACGCTATATTTTCTAAAAAAGTTAAATTTATCAAAATACTACTTCATATTATTATAACCGCTTCTACAAACATTTTTCAACAAATTTTGTTTTTATTGTAAATTTAATCGCATCTTTTTCAATTTAAAGTAAATGACAAACGTTAGTTATAGTTGTATATAAGAGTTACAATAATAAGAATTTGAAAAATAAAATAATAAAAGATTAACCTTTCAAAAATATTTTATTAATTTCATAATTTTTAAATTATTTAAAAAAACACTTCAACTTACAGAATCTAAATTTCTGTCTTTTCAAAAAGCTAAGAAAATATTTTCTATCTCAATTTTGGAACGTTGTATTAAGAAAGCGAGGAGCATATTTTTTAGAAAATCGTTATTAATGTACTATGATGGTCGAATAAAAAGTAACTACCAATTTTTACTCAATACTATCCTAATACAAATATAAAACTAGTTTAGCTAAAAGGTAAATTTTCAACAAAAAAAAATGTCTTATATCAAACGTCTTAAAAAGTAGTATGTGTTGTATCTTAGAGTAAATAAAAGATTTCATTATAAAAGCAATATATTGTGTAATTTTGTAATCTTCCTTATTGCATACAAATTATAATAAATTAGTTTTACATTTTGTCTAAATCACATGATATATTTTTGTTATTACTACGTACCTATTCAGGTTTAACTACTTAAAATTAACTAACATATCTATACTGATATACAGAATAAACGTGAGTGTAGAAATTTAAGCCTTGAACTCTCTATAATAGGCATCCAATGTACATGATGTACAATTTTTTTTCAAAATGAAAACAATTATAATATTTTACAAAGTTTTAATGTGATTAAATATACGTTAAATTTATTAACGAATTTAAAGTAGTCATTTTATATATTTATTAAATATATTATATTATGTAAAATAAAATGTTACTTTTATATTAATTAAAGAAACGTATGGTTAGATAATTTAATTATTGCAATTATCAATTTAAAACAAATATATTAAAAATTAAATAGTGTAAATAGTATTACACTATGGACAAAGTTAAAAATGGTTTCTATATTATAAATATATTATTTTTAAAAAATGAATAGGTATTATAACATTTAGGAAAATTGAATACCTACAAATAAAAGTGGTCTTTTTCCACATTATTGTTTGTACTTTTTCAGTAACAAGTGAATACGTTAATTTGTATTGACATTTTCCGAATCTAACGTATGATTCAATTATTTTCTATAAAACATTTTATGTTTTTTATTAGATTAAGTGGTGACATCAAAGGGTGCATTATGAAAACGGATGTAACTATTAATAATAATTTTTAAGTGGCTATTTTTGAGTATCCTCTACTTTAATAAAGCTACAACATCTAGTTCTTTGATTTTTCCAGTTAATGGAAACAAAGAAATGGCTATAACTATATAAGTGGATTTGCTAACAAAAAGTAAGAGTTTAGTTGAATAGTAGGACTATTTCAGTACAAAACAATTTTTACGTACTGTACCTTTACTGTTTCAAAATACTTTAAGACAACCGTTAATATTATGAACAGATAATTGTATTATATTGAATCAAGTGTTTTATGTATAGGTAAAGCAATTAAAATAGTTACTCAACTGACATATTTTTTTTTGTAATATCAATTTTTCAATCCATTTTTTTCCAAAAATTTGTTATTTCCTTATGCGTTTTTATCTAATATTTAGGTATTTATTTTAGTCGCTCTATTGATCTAGTATTAACCTTAGGGCTTAAAATTAGTCAGTTTTAGGGGATTTCGCTAGGCTAACAATGTAGCTCGGACGTATTAAACCGTGTGCGGTGAACAAGTCGGGGCATTCATACTTCTACAATAGGTACCCCGTACCTACCGTATATTCAGGTAGTTGTTACTTGTACCTACCTACCTATACAATAATAATGATGAGAGCTGATGTTGTGGTTTGGCATACCGCTGTCGATGGCCAAAGGTTGGTCAACCTGCTAGTCCGTTGAACGGCCGGTTTCCTTTTGAAAAACACCGGCGGCGGCGACCATGCCGACAATTCACCACCGCCGTCCGCCAGTGTGTAACCGGCCGGCTGCCGAATACGTCGTGCCGTACCGTGTGTGCTCACGTTTGTGCGGTGTTAGCTATTTGTATATGTATAATATTTTCTTAATTTTTTTCTTTCTTTAAAAATACGCTTTTGGTCGTGTGTTGTGTTTTGCGATAACATCTGATCTGATAACTGTTGTTGTTGTCGTCGCCGTGATGTCCAGCGCTGGTGGTTTTATCGCGGTGCCGCCTCCGCCAAAGTGATATCCCGTTCGTTACCGGTTTTCTGTGTTTTTTTTTTTTAAAATTTAGTTTTTATTAATTTTATTTTTTCTTTGTTTTCGCTGGTCTTTTTATTGGTTTTTATCATGCCGTTTGTTCAACGCATCGTCGAGCCCGTTCGTCTGAGCCGGGTCAAGCTTCACGACGACAACGGAGCGCCGACAGTGGACGATCGTGAGTTGGACGCCGTAACCAACTTTGCACTGGCCAACACCCTCAGACAAATGGCGTCTGTGGCCACGCTGGCCGACGAAGTGTTCCGAGACCTCCGTGGCCAGTTGTTGGACGTGGCCACTAGATCGACCAATCTCAAGTGCCGGGTGCAAGCCCTCGGAGACTTGGTCGCCCGGGTCGACCCCAAAACCGTAACTGTCCGTGAGTATCTATACTTGACCCATTTTTTGAGTATTAGCTCATCGCTTTTTGCTTTAGGTATAAAATGTATATATTTTTTTAATTTGTCATATATAATCTCTAATAAGTAATAATTAGTACTATATTATACTGTCTCTGTCTCTGTCTCTGTCTGTGGCCAGATCATTTCAGGTATTTTCAAAATGTAAACTTAGCCCTACCCTTCCCTGCATCCTTATAGAAAATTTAAACGTAAATTATCACCTACCTAGTATCGTTAATTGTAATTTTAACGCTTTTACATTTACAAATATATACTTAAATAGTTTTTGCTTTAAACTGATATTTGCCCGAAATGGTAGGAAGTATGTAAAAAACGTATCACGGAAATCGCACCTATAGATGTGATTCAACTATTCAAGTATACTTGCTTATTACTTTATTATGTAATCGTTAATGAAAATAGTTACTGTTTCCTGCGGGAACGTTTTTTTTATGATGCGCGACTTACGGTTTTTACCCTTAGGGGTTTCGACGAGGCATGTGACTAGTTATTGCGCCCCATATGGTACACATTACATGGGATCTACAACATAATAGAGTAGACGCTCTCACGCCGATGGCGTGAAGTCGTTATAATTATTGTTATTAAGAGCCAACGCGTTTTTTCTTTGTTTCATTGGAGTCCAAACCGTAGAAAATAAACATTCTCTATATTTTGTCTCTAATAGTTGTTACCAAAAATTGGATTCAAATGTTAAATCGTTAAATATAAGTGATATTATAATTATGATCAATGGTCAATGGTCACGTGGCATTATTCAACTTTTTTACTTTTTGTTATTGATATTTTTACACCGAGTTATTAATCCTTTTGTGAAAAATCGCGAGAAAATGCGGTAAATCCTAATTTGTAAGGCACCATGGCACCGTTAAGTATGACCATAACGTAACATTGACAGTTTTTCTGATTATTCACGGGCGCTGTGATTTCGCTTAATTTTTGTTCTATAGATAATCATTACAAAATAGTAAACCATTATTTATATGGCTTATTGCATGTGCCATTTGCTCGCACTTCGAGAATAACACATTTAAAACTGCAATAACAATAATAATAATAGTAAGTATATAAAGACACGCACAGTACATAAATGTATTAACATGATTACAATGATAATGACAATCAATTAGTACTAGAGAGAATACAAATTATAAATTAATCGACGCGAGACCGGTCACGGCGAGTATAGTTTCTGTTTTCGCACTGCGCCGTGCAATTTTAAGACCTGACGACGGTTAAACGATATCCAACTCTTTTTTTTTTCAAACAAACACTCACAGTACTTTTCATAGTCGTATGTATGTATATCATATTATTTTTTATTGTACTATAACTGCAGAACTACAGGTTTATGAGCGGCAACCGACAGCGTGCAGCTGGTGTCGAATATTAAAAAACAGCAGGACCGTTCGACTATAAAACGGGGTCGACTGTTAAAAAAAAAACCGGATCTTAGCGTACAGGGTGCATTACACCCTTCGGTGCTACGCTTTAACGGACAAAACCAACGGATGGACGATACAAGCTGAATTGATAATTAAGCGAATCTGTAACAGGATTGTCATAGGAGCAAACGACGACCGCAGGGTAGTGTGGGTTTCGTGTTTTTAATATTTAATATTGAGTTTATTATAGTATAGTAAAAAAAACGAAACGTCCAGTACTTTAATTTAGTTTGTTTGAGACCGCCGTTGTAAGCATTGATGTACTTATCTCGGAAAACACTGATTACTAACGAATGTAGATAATTGTAATAACTTTAGAGCAATCATAGTTGCATACAGCGACATTGTCGTGCAAGGCGATGATGCGAGATAGTATTATGATTTTTAGAATAACGTTTGTTCATACAACTAGTTCCAAATGAGTATGGCTACTATGGAAGATAATATAAACCCGGTTATCCGCATTCGACTTACAACACCATTTCGTTAGACATAACGCGCGTGTCTAATAGTAAACCGATAAATTACCGTCTCCCGCCCCCTTTTCCGCCTATCCAGACTGAGGAGTAAAAGACACATCTGCGTTAATTAAATACACGCTCGGATTGCATACCGTATAGTATATTATCTAATTTTTATATGTACCGCTGACCGTGCAGGGTCTCGCGTGGCGTAGGCGATAGTATCGAAACGTCACATTAAAAAAAACATATTGTCGCATTACGACATGTAAAATTACTTTTAATTAAGTTTTCTGTTTGCTTCTTAGGTAGTGCACAATTTATAAAATGAAAATAATTATATTATGTAATAAATTGGTATATAAACATTCGATCGACTGTTGATTGCAAAAGGACTTCTTGACTGTAATAATTGTCATTAAACTTGTTGGCGACTGCTTTTTTGTTTTCTTATTTTTAAAATCTACCCAAACTAGTAATTTACAACTTGATTCATTATGGATAATACGCTCATTTTCACTTAAAACAATTGCAATTTTGAAGTTTTTCTTTTCGGAAGCGAAGTAGCTTATGTTATTTTACAATAAAAGAAAATATTCAATTTTGTATCTTACTTAATATTTTTTAGAGCTTTATCAACTTTTGAGACTTAAATAGTATAGTACATACTACATATGCATGATTACATTTTTATATTAAGAATAATTTGCTGTAAATTTTGACTGGTCGGGAACTAGTTTTGAATAAATAGTTTTAGCTACTAAATTAAAAAAAATAGGACAGGAGGTAGAGTGCAGTTGAGTAATGCGCTCAGATAAAAAGAGCTCTACACTCCACCCTTCCTCCCGTCCTAAATTTTAAACGTAAATAATTTTAAAAGTAGTTATCCAAAACTGGTTATCGAGCAGTCAAATGTTCAGCAAATTATTCTTTATTTATAAAGTTAATTAAATATACACGTTTCCATTTAAGTTTCAAAAGTGGATAGAGCTCTGGAAAATACTAAAAAAGGAAGTTAATCTTAAGTAATTTGTTAATATTATAAAATAAATAAAACAAAAATGTTTTTAAAAAGAAAAACTACAAAATTGTAATTATTTGAATAGAAAATTAGTGCCTTATCCTTAATGAATTATCCTGTATCTCAACGCTTCCGGTATTTTGTTTTATTGAATACTATACTCGGAGAAAGGATCGTAAGGTTGACGACCGACGTGTATATATTTACTATTTCACAAGAACATAATATGCAATAGGTATATTATACCTAGGTAAGTATTGTTATATTGGCCGTTAGGGTCATCCATATTGTTATGATGGCACTTTTAAAATAGTTTGGTCTGTACACGCGGCGTTGTACTATTGTTCTTTGATTTGCAAACCGATGTTTGAGTGAAAGTCTCCAACAAAAAATAAATGGGTCAGAATTGCCTGTTGGTCGTAAAGGTCACGTTTTAACTGTTGTTCGCCTCAAATATAAAAGCTCATTACACACAGACCAGGCGCGCATTGTTCATAGCTGAAGTATGCGTTAATGTATACATAGAAAGGGGTATGATTCTTAAACTTTAAACTGCTTAAGTGTCTGTAGCCGAAATAAATAAACGCGTGGTTATGTTAAACGTTCGGTCGTTTTCGTCGTAGAAAAAAGGGTCTATCATTGCAGCAACAGCAGCGGCGGGTCTTTAAAACCATATTTTCCATCTGTCAGGCAGAAGATAGCAAACTGGATGGGCTGACAGCCGTCTGGAAAACTTAAACCTTCGGAACGTAACGCATATTCGGCATTTTTGTCTCTAAAACTAAAAGCAAATTATTTACTAGATTGTCACCGTACGCAATAAACTAAATAAACATATAATATCGATAAAAGCACTTACCTCCTCTATGTAACGAGAAAAAAAAACGACGGTAATTTTAATTTGAATGTGCTTGTATTACAAGTAAAACCAGATCGGTATCTCGGACGGTTTGGGAATTTCAAGCTACCACGACCGTCTAAACATATTTAATCTAAAAACCATTATAAAAATATTCTCCGTCATTAGTGGTCGCCGCCGCTGTTTTAAAGGTTTCAACTGTTTTTCCTTTATCGTCCGTTAACCCGGAGGAGATACTTACGAGTAAGCCATGTCGTGTAGACAACATATACCTAATACGTTCCAAAACTAATCGCTTCTTCCGTCAGTACTCGTTGTCGACGTCGACCGTCGGTTAAAAAAATCATCTCGAAGGACTGCGGTACTTATTTACATTTTATGCCCCGGCGTAGGTACCCAAAGTACACAGTTGTAATAATAATAATAATCATATAGACTTGATAAGTTCGTGAGTGTTTGTGTGTGGGCAGCGATCGTCATTTCCTCTCCTGACTGCTCCGCATGATTACATGTACATATATATATATATATAAATTAATAGAACCGTCGTTTCCACGTGATCGTCAGTAGAAGCCATACCCGAACGATGCTGGGAAACCATAGGCGAACCGCACCCGGGTGAGTTTTAGTATATTTTAATATATTGTAATAATCGACGTGTGAATGTACATGTACATATCGCATACGCAAGTACAGCGAGGGCCGTTGGTAAAAAAAAAATGATTGGGTTTCAAAACCAATTCTCCGGTAAAACAATGTCGTGTTTCCCCTGTTAGCGCTCTGCGTAAACAATACCGTATACATAATATGGTGAATATATATAAATATATGGTTATAGAGACGTCCGTTTGTGGAAACCTTTGCGAGCACCAACACCAGTATACATGTCTTTGTAGACATGCGGTGTACAACGTGTTTTGTGTTAACAACGGGGGAATTAGTAAAAGATACTCATATAGTACGTTTAACAGTGTAACTATTGTTATTTGATTCCAAAAATAAAAAAGACCGGCCACCGTATGCAAATTGAAGCGAAAATTTTAGTCGAATTCAGTATGGGCTAAACGAGAAACCTTATACAATAACGGTTAACCAAAACGATAGTATTAAAAACATTTAACGTATTTGTAAAGTGGTTCGTTTAAAATTCGAAAATAAAGTATGGCAGTTG